CCCCACATCACAGACATCAAAATACTAAAATTATACATTGAAAATACCTAAATTGATTCATATCAGAATAAAAAGGAATCCTAAAAGCTTTTTATTAAAAAAAATATAACGTTTTCGAAATTATATATTCTTCAGCCATATAGGTAGTTTATCTTTTCTTTTTCAAAAATGATTTAAAAGCATTAAGATAAAAATATTTTTATAATTACACTTTTACTGTATCATCATACATCATGTATCTTACTTGAAAAAGTTTCAGCTGTACAGTTGTTTCTTTGATTAGCCATCCTTTGTCAATCCTGCAGGAGTTATCGTAATCACCATAAGCCTGAGGTTCTTCTTTCACAGTTGGTGATTTTGCATCTACTCTTATTTTCCGAGGTTCTAGATTAGTTTCCCAGTTTCTCACTATTACTTGTAGTCCTTCCTCAACAATCACACAAACACAATAACGATATGAACAATCTTTGTCTTTAGGAACATACACAATTTTTGACCAAATTTCAGAGCAGCGTTCTTGATTCAGTTTTATACACTTTTCTGGCTGCCATGTACCTAATTCTTGACAATCTCCTACCACACACACGACTTCATCACATTTTAGATCAGGAACCCTTACACGAAATAACCATTTACGCAAAGAGATGTCTCCTTCAGAGCTTTCCTCTCCAGCACCTGCATCTCTTCCTGCTGCACACGCGTCACGCATAATATCATTTTCTGGATTTTCAAGGAAAAACCACTTCTGCATTTTTATACCTCACTTGTTAACTATCTAAGGAAAAAAAAATAAAATGTTTGTTTATTTAAACATGTATCAATATTTATTTAAGTAAATATTAATAATTAATGACGCAAAAAATGCAACTTTAATTATTACAATATTTGTTATTAATTTTTACTCTTTATGATAAGACAAAAATGGCAATTTATTGTCATGCAAAACTTGACGTAATTGTTATAATAGTGAAAAATATGGAAGTAAATTACCTATTTATTCAACTACATTAACTAAATTTAATCACATTTCTTTAAATTTTAAAAAATAAAATATGACATGGAGGAATGAATATTTTTTTTTTAATTACGTACATGTAATCACAACCAGGATAAAGTAAAGTGTCACCTTCACCACAAATAAAATTTTGGCAATACGAACGTAACGTCATATTTCCGTTTTGTTATTTCTCTCATGCCTTTTTAAAACTATCATGATTAAACTGCTCTGTCCTCTACCGAAAAGTTTGCTTTCAGAATTTACTTGCCACTAAACAAATAACTGAAACTTTCTGTTTTGCTTCAGCCAGTCAACTAAATACATGTATGCTTGCTATCTATAACCTATATACGTTGAAATTGGTATAACCTCCAAACGTCAAAATTGCAACTGCCAGGACCTGATCCAGTGTTCAGTCAGTATTGGTCGGTACTCATACTCCAAACTGATAATGTTATCTTCTATTTCACTGAAATTATTTTTTCTTTTATCTTAGTTTGATATCGTTGAGCATTAGCGTTCTTATAAGTTATAACTCATTTATAAAAAAAATATATTTGAGACCCATACAAGCCCTAGGGTTCTGTTTTCTATTCGGACGTACGGAACCCTAAAGAGCGAAAGTGCGATTCTGATTCACGTTACGAGTTAATAAGTAGAAATTAAACAAATATGTATTTATAATATTTATATACGTGGAATTTCTAATAGTCAGTCCTACCTACGCTTCAAGACCTAAATACTTTCGGGCATCTATTGTGCGATCTAATACGGTTGAGGGGGTATGGAACGCTTAAAACGGGATGATCATTTACTTTGATGTTCCTCGGGTTCTGCCAAATATTACTACTAATATACGTACGTTTCTATAATTCAAGAACAACAATACTATATATGTACAGGCAAAGCGTTATTATATTTGTTAAAAAATGCATTTTTTATATTATATATTTCATTATTTCCAAAAGAAATATTAATATATATTCCAGATAGCGAAAAAAGGTTACATTTGCTTAACTTACCTTACACATCTTACATCTTACGATTAGTTTTGAAATAAGACATTTTGCTTTTGTATCAGTTTGTAATACAAATAATACGAGAATGTATGCAGAAATATTTTTATTGGTATTAAGTAACTGGCAGTATATGTTAATAATAACTTAATATGTTTTTTATATAACTTTATTAATTGCTGTTTCCTTTATCTGTGTTGTACAATTATCAAACAGTATACAAATGTATGATATTACCACATAAGGAAAACACAGCAAATAAATTTCTTATCTAAACTCTATTTGAAGCAATAATATCTCCCTAACTTATTTATCACATTCCTTTATTCTTACTGTATAGATTGCAAAACATTACAGCGTTTTAGCATGAAAAAACCCATTTTTTTATTTTGTATATTTTTTGGTAACTCCTTATATATTAAAAAAAATATATGTTACCAATACTTACTATCTAAATTTTATACTAGAAGATTTATTTAGCAAAACAGAAATAGGGTTCATACGAGTATAAAAATGACTCCCATAGCAGCGTGTTTATTAGGTTTTCTAAAAAATTTTTTTATTGTCCCTTATAACACAATTCTAATACTTTATAACATTTAGGATCACTCCAACAGCTAAACACAATTATATTTACCATTATTATCGATTATTTCCAATTGAGCGAATGAATGTATCACTTACATCCTTAAATATGTTTTTATTGAGTCCATAAGAGTCCATGAATTTAAATCAAAAAAAAGTTACCAGGTTTTTTCGCTCAATATGAAATATGTGTATCAATAATAATAGGAAAATGCAAAGAAATTAGCAAAAATACCAAATATGGTCAAATTTGATTACAGAAATAATTGTACTTTACTGTTAGAATATTCCTAAATGCTATAAATTATTAAAATAAGTATAAACAATAAAAATTAGAATCGTATTAGAATACTTATAAAACTCACTGTTCATACTCTTGTCGACCCTTATCCTTGCACTGAAAATGCGAACAGCTTTGAATTCAATATTTTTTGTTTTTTTTTGTTACATTTTTATTATTTATTAAGTTGCATTAAAATTTTTTCAAACACAAACTTCCATTTTTTTATATATATATATCTTAAAAACAGTTACAGTAAATAGAACTTTTGTTTTTATACCATTAAATGAATACAACAGAATTTTTCTATGGTCAAAATAGTCATCTCTCCTCACTAAAAACTATTTACTTTAGCCCAATAAGGTAAATTTTTTCACAACCAAATAAATTAGAGAAATTCTTTAAAAAAAGAACTTTTTGTATCTCAACCAATCGAGAAAATCCGTTGTTATGTAAATATTTTTATGTCTTTTGCAAATATTCTGTTCACCAAAAGATGTTTTTAGAAATATAAAATTTTAATTACAATACTCAAAATAATTATGAACAGCTAAGTAGGTATCATTTTATTAAGGATTAATATGATTAGGCCCTAACGGAATTAGTTTTGAACTAATACAAAAAGTAAAAACGATACCTCAGTACCTACAATCACTTGAATTTGGTATTTACATGTATACTTAATTCTACGCAGCAGGGAAAAACGAGTTAAAGGTAAAGCTTTTAATAAATATTAAAAAATAAAGAGCTTGCTTACAAAAAATTTCCTAGTTCATGTCTTATGCTTCTAGTATAGTATCACTGTCAAGGGAAGATGAGGACTTTTGTCCGTTAATATTTTCTTTCTTGCACTCTTCTATCCTGCTCTCCAAACTTTCTAGAGACGTTGCAGTAGAAAATTCATGGAAATCTGCTCGAATCTTTGCAACATCTAAAATTCTTTCAATAATAGGCTCTTGTGGAGGCTGTGATTGCTCGGTTGTAGCAGCTGCCAGTTGAATAAGTTCTTTTTGTGATTCCCGAGCTTCCACCATGAAAATACTCTCCTTGACTTCTTTACTCGAATACTCGTAGATTTTATCGTAGATTATGCCATGGAGACCCAAATCTTTCAGATACTTTATTGTCCCTTTGTCTGCATTTTCATCGCCCCAACAGAATATCACTAGATTTGCTTGTAAAGCAAAATTAACCTATGAAAAAAACAACAATTATTTTCAAATGTCAACAAATTTATTTTTTATCGTTCTTTTCACCTTGTTCAATAAATTTGCTTTATCTGAGATATCCGTTTGAAAATAGTGTATTAAAATTTATATCTAATCTTCATAAACGAACAAATTGTCAAATTTGTTGTTACTGAATAAGTAATATAAAATCGCCTTTAAAACATTAACACGTTCTTGAATGCTAAACACATGAGGTAAAATAATGAACCATGGTTGAATTAATAAAACTGAAGAATTTAAACAACATTATTAGATATCCTTCCTTAATACTAATACGTAAACTGTAATATGCACAAATCTTACCTGCGAAGGATTTCTTAAAATATCCTCTGAATGAACGTTGACCCCTAAAAGTTCCATTAACGTTGCCTGCTGCACAGCAGCTGCAATACTAATACAACGAGGATCCATATACGGTGGATACTTCGTGGTTTCACCTTGTGTCAAAAACAGGACAGGATACTTGTTCTGTTTGAGTTTAATCATAGTGCAGATGTCCGGATTGAATGAAGAAAATATGATCTTCCTACAGTAACCATGACTCATAGCTACTTCGATAATGGTGTCCAGATACAAGTTCAAATCAATTGGATGATTGAGCTCATAGGAGCCGTCTTGAAGTTTCATAGTCCATTTGATTTCAATGTTAAAACCGGTGTGAGGATCAAGCACGTCCATCAGTTGACGTAATGTAGGGAATGGCTGGTGTTCTTCCAAATCATCATCGAAGAACCGGGGCATCTTCGATTTGCCTTCAGATAGGTGATACACCTACCATGAATTCAAATATTGTACGGTGGCAAAATTATATGCAATTCAGTTTCAAATATGAGATCACACACATGATTCTGATTGAAAAATTAATGAAATAGATTTTTCATCGGAAAATAATTTGACCAATTATTTTATACGTTGTTTCAAACCTACAAAATAAAAAAATACCTCTTCAGTTACGCATTGTTCTACTAAATGGGAAAATTAACATCGAATTATGTAGCTTAACTCAATAACATGCGTATACCAGTCAGCAGTCACGTAATTGCGACTAGTATTAAAAAATATTTTTAAACATGTGTTTAATAACACTTTTTTCGTAGAAAGTTTGTAATTGAATAGTACCTACGCTTTTCATTAAAATAGAAACGACTCAAATGGCAGTTAAAACACGAATTTTAAAACGAATATTACTAAACTAATTCAAAACCATCGCGTTTGCAAAACTCGCATAAAAATGAAATTTATATATTCATTTTAAAAAACTTTCAAGGTAAATTTATTTACTTAATTCGGAAACAATATTTATAAAGGTCGCATGTACATGTACCATATATTAAATTAAACATCTTAGCATTCTATGTTCATTAAGCGGGACGATCGGTAGCACGGCTCACATAAGCGTGACTGAAAAGAACGCCATAAGAACACAATTCTTGCATATGAGTATTTCGCGTGCGTCGTGTACTATACATACAATGGGGAAAGGTACACGTGTCTATATGTTCAGAAAAATTAATCATGACTAAAGGACAGGGGTATTTTAAATAATTGCTCGCTTGCCTCGTGGGCGTCCCAGGTTCGATTCCCGACTGATGCAATATCGCAGTTAATATTAGTGTTTATGTAATTGAAATATCTATTAATAAACATATAACTTTATAGCAATATTAATTACAAATTATGCTAAATTGCGATTTAATGAATCGTTGGAATCATGTAAAACCTTTCAAATGATCAAAACAACAAGTATTACAAAGAATTATAACCGCATTATCTTCTCAATTATCATTTGTGCAATAAAAACACATCGTTATCTAATCGTAATTGACATGTAAGTGGCTAACACAGCACTGAAATAAATACAATAAATTCTAATTTTCACTTTTGTATGAAACAAAATGATTATTATTTATACTAAACAGTAGAAATAGTATAGCTCAAAGCTCAAAGATAAAACAATACATACTTCACATTTTATCTCTACACTTTTTTTGTTTCAGTATATGAATTTTTACTATAAATGTTTCTAAGTACAAGCAAATATGAAAATTATGCCACCATTTATTCTAATTAAAAACATTCTTTTTAATATTGATTCTTCAATAATTAAAAAAATTATTTCTATAAACGTATTCTATACACAAAAAGCAGTAAGGTACCTATAACATTTCGTTATTCAAATAATCCAAAGCATTCGTTATCCTTCGTTTGCCTTAATAAACTTATAAAATTAAGATACCGTTGATGTAGTATCTTAAAAACTAGTGGAAGATTTACCTCAGAAAAACTCCTAAATATCCGTAATCTCAAAATTAATCGTTACCTTCATCTTAATGAAGCTTGGTTACATATCTGAATTAAAAAGTACCTAAGAGGGTGAAAATTTTTAAATTTTAAATACTACTGCAGCACGTGAAGCCGCGAGTAAAATCTAGTAATTTATAAAGTTTAATGATTAAAAATCATGCAGCCATATTGAGTTTTGATTTCAATTTGCATAAGAACATCAGGAGAAAATTTGATAACTGTTNCTTCATTTAATATCCCTATTATTATTACAAGCGGTTTTAAGAAAAATCTATCCTATCCGCCTGGTTCCCAAAAATTTAAGGCATAATTGATTTTTACATAAAACTCAACAAATAAAATGCTTTAACGAAATACTGGAGTTAAAAAAAAAACGGTGATAATAAATTTCATGATTATGTGTGAAAATTATACCTTCAGTAATCTGAGTTGTTCAAGAGTCAGTTCCTTTATGGGAAGTTCCAGCATGTCTGTCTCATCTAACTCCTTCTTTTTCTTCATCGAAATACACACATGATAATCGTGATAAATAATAGGAACCCCATCCTTACTGAGCTGTACATCAAATTCCACCATATCTGCGCCATGATCTATGGCTGTTTTCAAACTGGCAATGGTGTTCTCTCGTACCTCGGCGCAGTTCTTTGGCTCGCACTTAAAACTTGAACCGGAACCACGATGTCCTACGTCCAAACCGCACCATGTATTCCTCCAATATCGTGTATACGACACGCTCATGTCACATTTATAATTCGACATCGGACGAACCACCAAATATTCAAGCTCAATTTGACCTAACGGTCTATGTTTCGTACTAGTCACAGGAAGAATCACACTTCCTGCAGATGATTGTAACGCACTAGGGAGTAGATAGCTAAAGCCGGCATGATATGGAGGATCATCGTCAACTGCTTTTGTGCTGTATATGTACAAATCAATTAGAAAAGCAGTATTTTGGGGGAAAAGAATGGTACTCTGGAAGATTATCAGGTCACCACTCTGATATTCGACACCGAATTGACTTTGTGGTTGAAAAGAGCAGATTGGATCTTGAAGTTTACATACTTCAGTGTATGAAAAGCTAGGGTTCTCTATAATGTCGTTGTTTTCAGTACTCAAAGACTCTTCTAAAGCTTCTGCCATAGTTTTTGGAAAGTTCGCATTAGTACGGGTCAAGTTAATTGGAGTTACTTTGATGTAAATTTTGCGATTGGCATAACGAGGTCTCCATATTGAAATATTCTGAAATAGAAAATATTTACTATTACTATATATTAATAAAATAAATAATAATAAAAGGAAGTTTTTTAAACTTTGGTAAACATAACATTTACAGAAAAAAAATCTAACAGTTTACTGAAGATACCTTGAAATGTTGAGGAAACCGTTTCACAAATTGTATAAGATTGACATCATTTTAATTACATGAAATGAAAGATAAAAATAATATACATGACAATGAAACGACCCCCACATCACAGACATCAAAATACTAAAATTATACATTGAAAATACCTAAATTGATTCATATCAGAATAAAAAGGAATCCTAAAAGCTTTTTATTAAAAAAAATATAACGTTTTCGAAATTATATATTCTTCAGCCATATAGGTAGTTTATCTTTTCTTTTTCAAAAATGATTTAAAAGCATTAAGATAAAAATATTTTTATAATTACACTTTTACTGTATCATCATACATCATGTATCTTACTTGAAAAAGTTTCAGCTGTACAGTTGTTTCTTTGATTAGCCATCCTTTGTCAATCCTGCAGGAGTTATCGTAATCACCATAAGCCTGAGGTTCTTCTTTCACAGTTGGTGATTTTGCATCTACTCTTATTTTCCGAGGTTCTAGATTAGTTTCCCAGTTTCTCACTATTACTTGTAGTCCTTCCTCAACAATCACACAAACACAATAACGATATGAACAATCTTTGTCTTTAGGAACATACACAATTTTTGACCAAATTTCAGAGCAGCGTTCTTGATTCAGTTTTATACACTTTTCTGGCTGCCATGTACCTAATTCTTGACAATCTCCTACCACACACACGACTTCATCACATTTTAGATCAGGAACCCTTACACGAAATAACCATTTACGCAAAGAGATGTCTCCTTCAGAGCTTTCCTCTCCAGCACCTGCATCTCTTCCTGCTGCACACGCGTCACGCATAATATCATTTTCTGGATTTTCAAGGAAAAACCACTTCTGCATTTTTATACCTCACTTGTTAACTATCTAAGGAAAAAAAAATAAAATGTTTGTTTATTTAAACATGTATCAATATTTATTTAAGTAAATATTAATAATTAATGACGCAAAAAATGCAACTTTAATTATTACAATATTTGTTATTAATTTTTACTCTTTATGATAAGACAAAAATGGCAATTTATTGTCATGCAAAACTTGACGTAATTGTTATAATAGTGAAAAATATGGAAGTAAATTACCTATTTATTCAACTACATTAACTAAATTTAATCACATTTCTTTAAATTTTAAAAAATAAAATATGACATGGAGGAATGAATATTTTTTTTTTAATTACGTACATGTAATCACAACCAGGATAAAGTAAAGTGTCACCTTCACCACAAATAAAATTTTGGCAATACGAACGTAACGTCATATTTCCGTTTTGTTATTTCTCTCATGCCTTTTTAAAACTATCATGATTAAACTGCTCTGTCCTCTACCGAAAAGTTTGCTTTCAGAATTTACTTGCCACTAAACAAATAACTGAAACTTTCTGTTTTGCTTCAGCCAGTCAACTAAATACATGTATGCTTGCTATCTATAACCTATATACGTTGAAATTGGTATAACCTCCAAACGTCAAAATTGCAACTGCCAGGACCTGATCCAGTGTTCAGTCAGTATTGGTCGGTACTCATACTCCAAACTGATAATGTTATCTTCTATTTCACTGAAATTATTTTTTCTTTTATCTTAGTTTGATATCGTTGAGCATTAGCGTTCTTATAAGTTATAACTCATTTATAAAAAAAATATGAGTGCTAGCAGCACAGGGCAAAGTAGCATTACATTACATAAACGAAAGTTAGGATCAGTAATTTCTTATGCTGAAGTGTACGCTGTGTTGCATACTTATTTACAAACAATTCCATTAAATTTTAATTATTGATTGCTATACATCTATTAAAAGACCAGAATGGCCGACATCAGTGACAATGCGACAACAATTGAAAAAGAATGATGGCCGGCAACAGCAACAATTAGAAAAGAATGATGGCCGACACTACGTCATAATATTGTTCACAAAAGTGACTTTCGACCACTCGAAGCAATGATACTAACAGTTTCGAGCTCACAGTGACCGATAGGAGGGGAGAACTAGTATATTTTAATTATTTATATAACACAAATTTTAATTTATCTTTGATGTGTATTGTGTCTGAAAATGTTGCTTAAAAAAGTTTTGTTAGAAAAATTTGTTAAATTTCCTAAATACTGTCCTGGCCAGCTGTCTGACGTTATGAGTTATGACGTGGAACGACGATCCAGTAATCGGCAGAGGCATTGTCAACATTTTTTTAACGATAAGTCAGGTCCGTATTAGTTAATGTTGGTTAAATATTCGTTTTTTACAATTATTGAATGAAACAAATGTACAACGATATATGTACGTATTCGCATTGGATATCCGTATTTTCCACTCTCCTTCGTACACGAAAACTCGTTAAAACGAAACGCTTAATGCAGTTAAAAAATTAATTGTATAAATTGCGAAGCTTTAAATATATCCGAACAAAATTATTTATTATTTATTACATGAACACTTACCGTGGATTCAGTTTTGTAAAACGCTTTAAGAGTCTACATAAACTGTATGTTTTGAAAGCACGGACAAATATAACTAAATACCGCGACCCTACGTAGCAAACAAATGACATCCTTATCAAAGTAATTATTTTATAGTCAAAAATGAGTGGGGAAAGGAAAACTTGATTTTATTCTATAAACGATTTTATTTTACGCTTAAATGACTATGTACAAATGTACATTTCATTATGATAAATAAAGCCCTTAACACCTATTTTAGGTGGACTCAATTAATAAACCCTAAGAATTGTACAAATACCACTCAATCTTATAAAAGCATGTATAAAAAACTGTACAATATGGACAACCTTTATATAAGAAAGAAAACTTAATTTACAATACTCTTCATCTTCATGCTACAGATTCATATCACAATTTCACAATAAATTACAATAATCCATTTTCGCACTTAATTAGGGTGAAAGAAAAGACAATTATCTCTATTTCGACAATAACCGTGTTGTCGAACGTTTTTACACAATCTTGTTGGCATATGCCCACCTCGATGACCTCCTCGAACGTGATTCCAATTACCTGGGTTTGGTCCGTTCATTCGAACCCATGGACCAGTACCACCACCTCTCCGAAAACCCCTGTGAGCACCATGATGATCATGACCACCTCTAAAGTTCGGGTGATTCGGGGGGAACATCCTTGGCTGATTAAACAAAGGTGGCGGGAAATTTATATTGTTATCTTTCAACAGAGGATGGTGATTAAAGTTATCTGGTACTGCACCTGGACCTAGAGGTCCAGGAGCAAATCCTAAATTGGGATTCATTGGTCCTTGATTTATAATGTCTGGGGGAGGAACGTTCGGTACTAGCACTTGATTGTTTATATTATTCGGCATATTCCACTCTCCAGGTGGTAAAACATTGGGTGGAATAAAACCAGTTGGAGGACCACCAAAAGGTGCTTGAGGTTGTTGTTGAATGGGCATATTTTGTAAACTTGGCGGAGGAGCAATTCCAAAATTCTGAAAATTGTTCGCCACCTTGGGGAAAACTTGCGGAATGTTGGGCAAGCTCTGAGGAGGGGGTGACCCTTTTGGTTCTGGCCATGGAGTATTACGGTAATCATGATCAGGGTCATCAGGTGCTTCGATAGGAATAATTACAGGATCAGTAACCTGATAATTTTCAGGATCAGGTTCAGCAGGTGAATCTGGAATCATAGTCTTATGGAAATAGAGAGCTTGAAGAACGCTTTTTTCACGAGCAAACTGCACTTCCTTTTCGAGACTTTTAGAGCCCGGATCGGCAAGAGATTTTTCCAATTCAATTTCCCATGGAATGCGCCACTGTGTATGTACATCCATTAGATCCTCGTTTTGCAATTTTCTGCACATTTGTAAAGCCTCCCGTTCACCTTTTACGTCCAGTTTCGCCATATCACCAAACGCTTTCGTCACATTAACACGTTCATTTTCGTCCAATTCGAAGTATTGAATTTGCACCAAGTCTTCATCAGACTTCCATCGGATAGACTTCTTTGGGCCTTTCCGTTTCGTATATACCAGTACTCCTTTTAAACCGTTTTCGTCTTTGTTATGTTTATCTTCATCTACCTCCATTTCCTGTTTAGCATCCGTTGGTGTTGATGGTTCAATTATTTCATCTTTAGTCATTTCTTCATCCTTAGGAGTATTTAAGTTTTCTTTGTCGCCTTCCTTTATGCTTTCATCTTCGTCTTCCGCCTCTAGGGTATCCTTGTAAAATTTAGGAGGGGTAATATTCCTTAACGCCATAGGGGATGTTGTTTCAGTATTAACAGTGGCCGCTTGTGTGGTAGATGGTGAAATAGGAGGTGAAGAAGAATCTTTCGAAGTACTTGGCCGCCTTCTTCGCTTCTTTGGTTCTTTTTTCGAGCTGGCGGATGCTGTTAATGCATCCATGAACATATCACTTTCTTGCAAAAATGCCGCTGAAAGGAAAAATAGAACTAATAAATGCATAATTCATTTCTAGAATATTACGATTAAATATATATAATTTCTTGAGGAACTCATTGGTTCATCATTTCGAATTTTATTTGTTTAATCGGAGATTTGTTGTGTGTATGTATGCACGCTTGTTTCCTTAATACTAATACCAGTGCAAATAATAATTAATTCAAAGTACAGGTAAAATTTTAAACTAGTTAAGGATATGGGTTGCTCTAGTTTTAGGGAAATGCGAACATTAGCTCAGGATAGGAAAGAGTGGAGGTGCGTGTCCAACTAGTCTTAGGACTGACGACCTTATGATGATGAAGTTTAAGCTGTATTTACTAATTATTAAATAGTCAAAATAATTGAAATAACAGATTTGTTAGTCATAATTTTTTAATAGAATAACTATTAATAACAAGCAAATAGAACAATGATAGCAACATTGTTCAGAAAGTTCTAAAGAACAATCGTCAATATTTTTACATTAACTCATTTTATCTATACATATTTCAGTACTTTTTCTTTGTTACTCAATATTCTAAAAAAATTGGCATCTGTATTTTGTTTACTTTACAAAGTAAATCTTTTCTTGTATATAAAATAAAATAAACTTAATAATCTGAACAAAAATATTGATGTTCATTGAATCCTGGTTGTTCTTTTTAAAAAATTAACAAAAAGCAACTTCACTTGCATTATGTGCATACGTTTTCAAAAAGATATAGATATACTTTTTGCAGGTGGACTAGTCAAAACTATCAAAGCATGTAATAGGTATTAAATGCTACGTTAAGTTTCGAGGAGACCCTCATATAGCAACCACATTTGAAATTTTAAAATGAAAACAATTACTCAAATTTCATTTACATTTTTTTTTGTTAGTTCATAAAATATGAATTATTCTTCAGTTAAACAAATGAAAACAAAAAAATTTAAGTTTTTTGTTGACTCCAAATTGAACACTTTTTTTTTAACGCATGCCTTCAGAGATATGCAATAAAATAATAAACGTCATCAAAACCAATTATTTAAAATAAGAAACTTATAAACGGACCGTTTCCGGGGTTTGAAAATATTTGTTTTTTTCATTTTCATATTTATGGAAGTGGACAATACTGACTTTCTGACCAAAAGTAATCAGGCTCTGTGTAGTATCACACATTTGATCTTATCATAGTTTCCCTGCAAAGTTACACCTAACGTTTGTTAATAGATACAGTCGTTTTTTTTTCGGAATTATGAGCATTTCAAATTACTTGTGTGTACATTAATTTAGTAAACAAAGTACCATATTTTCCTAGCATAATTCAACTTTTTAATTAATTTTTCTTACTTTGATAGACTTTCATAATATACAACTTATCAGTTGTTAAAAATCATAAGATAAACCATCACATTATTTATTAAACGCATGTTTTAGTAATTAAACTTTACACACATTGTTTACAAATAGACCTTAATGTAACTTTTAATACCCCTGCTTTCAAAAATTTTATATTTGCCAATTTAATTATTCCGCAATTATTTTAATATTACTACACTGCTGAAAATAATTTAAATCTCTGATTATCTTTAGGGAATATACTTGTAATCAAATTTATTCTTTAAAAAAAATTATTCACTGTAATACTTTTGCTTAAAGGTAATCATTAGCCACACTGCATAGGTACCTAGCGAACCATTTTTTCGTATTTTTGGCACGTATTTGAAAAATTCTTTCATTATTTTGAAAAGAAAAGGCAATAATATGCTTATATCAGGTTCTTAATTAATTATATCGAACTTGTCTAATGACCTTTCTATAACGGACGTGTAAAGAAATGTTTTGTAATTATTGCTTTCAGAAGTAAATACCAAAAATTTGTTACAACTGCTGGCAATTTTTTATTAAAAATAATCCGATAGAAGTATCTAATAAGACGCCGTCATAATAATAAAGAAGTACTTTTATTTACCCTGCAAATTGTATAAGCTCCTATCATTCTACAAATTTATATAAAATATTATCAATATATGTATAACACAGTATGTTGGTGTTTCCCCAAGAATTTTCAAGCACGATTAACCTGTTAACTTCAAAATAGTACTTTTTCTAAGAAAAATAAATCATAAAATAAAGAGAAAACAAAGTTATTATTAATAAAATAACAAGACTTTGTTTTCGCTTTATCTATATATCAGTTTAAATTGTTTGGCAATATTAACAGAAAGAAAACCAGGGCAAAATAAAAAAGTTTAAATGTAACAATAAATTAATCATATTCACACGGTGATTTATCATTTCAATTTAGCATAGGATCTGAGCAATAAAAATTATTACGCAAAAGTTTGAAAGTCCGCGTTACTGTATACAATCCAATTTAAACAGTAAATTCCAACATATTTTTTTATATACAGAGCACATCTATTATATAAAAGTATTCTGCGTACAACTTTGTAGTCACTGATTACGTCACAATCTCACTTTACGACACTACATTGACGTCATATTGCATAGGGAACTTCCCTTTTCGAGTCAATTCCTTTTTAAAGGTTATACCGTCACAAGGTCACAACGATTGCCGTTATCAGTTATTTTTTGTAGTACTTGCGTATACATAATATATACAATACTTGTAGAGAATTGGTAAATAACGACACAATGCTATGTAAATCAGACCTACATATACATACATAAAACAACTGTAACTTAAAATAAATCTTTGTAGTTTTCTCGCGGCGAAACTATAAAATGAAAATATACTATTTATACAGCTTTAGCATT